CATCAGAGAAATGCAAATTTAAACCACAATGAGGTATCACCTCACATCTCTTAGATTGGCTGTTACTTAGATGAAAGATAACAAGTGTTGGTGAGGCCGTGGAGAGAAGGGAACCCTGATACACTGTTGGTGGTATTGTAAATTAGTACAACCATTTTAGAAAACATTATAGAGGTTTCCCAAGAAACTAAAAATAGAACCACCATATTATCAACCTTCCCAATCAATACTGGGTATATACTCAAAGGAACTGAAATCGGTATGCCAAAGAGATGTCTGCACTCCCATGCTCACTGCAGCGTTATTCACAATAGCTAAGATATGGAAACAACAGAAGCCCCCACTGCCCCCGTTCACCCCACCCCCACCCCCAGCCTCTCCAGCTGCCCCCCCACACAGTGCGAGCGGCTGGGGAGGGCAGGAGAGTGGCCCAGGGCTGGGGGATAGGGAGATGGTGTGCTAATCAACACCCCCGTACCTTCGCAGACCTGCAGCCACGGTGCCTGGAATCTGCTTCACCCAGATTCTTCCACAACCCCGGCTCCCTCTCTGCCCCCTCTGCCCCACTATAAAGGACTTAATAGTTGCCAAGTCTGCCTTGTCACCAGCCCCAGCTCGCTTTCCTATAATAGGAATTGTTCCTCGCCACTAGAGGGCGCGATTATCCCAGATTTACTCCCTAATCCCGCATGGGAAAGGACAAACTTTCTAGATCTCTGCTTCTCTGGGGAAAACTAGCCTCAATGACAACGTTATTCGCTGTCCTCCGTTTCCAAGGTTTTCTTGTCCTCTGTCCTAGGCTTCGGGTTTTGCTCCCTGCAGCCTCAGAGCCCGCTCCTGATCACGGGAGATGCTATTCGGGGGCAGGTGACTTAGACCATCAGTTTCCCGGAATCTCAGTAGGAGAGGCTGTTAAAGCCAGAGGGGACCTTAGTCGTGCACTTCTCCATCCTTTCATTTGACTTAACCAGTAAGTCTGGGTGACTTGCCAAGAGATGCACAGCCGGGTAGGGACAAAATCCAGGCTGAAATGGGTGACCTGACTCCTCTATCCTATTTTACAATAATGATATTCAAAATATTTTTCAAAAATCACCAAACTATTATTCATCCGGCATTTACTCTGGACCAGGTATTATTCTGGACAAAACGTTCACGCTATTTATTAAAGAAATATTTGCCATACATCTTCTATACACCAGGCACTATTTGAGGGAATAGGGTTACAGACAAAACAAAACAAATCAGGGTTTTGTTCTCATGGAGGCTTACATTCCAGTGTGCTCATGGGAGCGCGGGCCTGTCAGTAGAGAGCTTGGCCCTGGGGGAGAAAATCACTTTGAGAATGCTTAGTGCAGACAGAGATTTCACTAGAGGGACTTCGATATCTTTAAACCCCTACTGATGAAGATACTCTAGACTTGATAGTAAATTATTTTAATTATCCCTTGTTCAGCAGTTTGAGCGAGACCTCCGGCGCTACGCCACGCACGAGCGGAGGATGATGCTGGATAACCATGGTTTGTGGGACAAGACCAAGGTAGAGTTTTCCCCCTGGAATGAGTTACTTTGATCCTCATCCCCAAGGCTGGGTCCCTGAGTACTCTTCCTGAACTGATTTGAATGTCTGAGGACAGTTTCCTCTGCTATGAGTGCCCTGTTCCCAGCTGATCACAGTTGAGGGCAGCTGGAAAGATCCTCACAGCTTAAGGTCCCCACCTGGCCCGGAATGTACCTCAGGGGCTTTGGGATCCAAGGTGATGAGCTAATTGGGCTTCCAGAACCAGCCCAGCAGTGAACATTACTTGAGGTTGGTACATTCCTGGTGTCTGCAATGACTAACTCCAAAGAAAACCAAGGATCCCCCCAAGTCACAAACACCACTCAAGTACCCCTCAAATGCAGAGGGCAGCAGCATTCTGAGTGACCATGTGGGCCACTAGTGAGAGTCTCCTGCAAGAAAGAGAGCAACAGAGCTGCCCAGGATGTAGATGAGCGGTCAGCTAGTGTCACTCACCAGCTATGTGACTCACCGAGCATGCCAGCCTTGCTGCCGTCATGATCCAGTTCACGCCTCCCAAAGTGATCACTGTATGAGCTAGAAAGAGTTAGACATTCAGCTGTTAAACCCACAGGGGCCAAGGCCTACTGTTCTTTCAGTGGTCAAGGACACCAAAATAGGCTCTCAGGGACAAGACTTAAAATAACTACAAGTAATGTACCTTTCCCTCTAGGAGCTTATAGTCTAAATGAGGTATATTTAGTTAGGGCTGTCTGAGTTACAAGTGTCAGAAGTCAAACCCAAACTGGCATAGGCAAAAAACGGAGTTTGGGTTCCATACTTCAGCATCCCAGGGTAATATTGGCTTCAGGTGCAGCTGCATCCAGAAGCTCAGGTAGGCCTCCCTCAGTATTGGTTTTATTCTCAGGCAGGTCTTCCCATAAATCCCATTCTCCCAGTTACTCCAGCAGAGAAGAGCCTCTTTCCTAATGGTTCCAGAAAGAATCCTAGCTGATGCTTATTGACCAGGCCTGGGTCACATGCCCATCCCTGAACCCGTTACTGTAGCTCCGACTGGCCGGGCCTGGGTCATGTGCTTCTCCTTGGAGGTGAGAGCAGCTCCACCTGACCCTCATGGACTGAGAGTAGAGAGAGGTGTTTACCAAAGAAAATTCAAGGTGCTGCTCACAGAAAAGGGGGCTGTGGATGCCGGCAGGAAAGCCTCAGATGCTGAGCGTGTGAGTGGAGGCAGATTCATGTGATACAATTAAGGAACACTTACAAATTAACACAATACACAATTCAATGTAAGCGAGTGCTTTCTATATGCCCAGCACTGTGCTACCTGCAAGAAAGGATGGAGGGGAAGAGGTGCTTGGTTTTTAAAGAGATCACGTGGCAGCCTGGTGGGGGTCAGAGGCAGGTGTGGAAGGCTGGAGAAGAGCCCAGCACATACACATATCCTATAATTCCCAGCAGTACACAATTCTGGCTGCACATTAAACTACCCAGAGCCTTTAAATAGATTGATGACAAGATCTCTCTTGAGGTTCTGATTTCACTGGACTTGAGTATGGCTCAAGCTTCCATGTTTTTTTTAAAAAAATCCCTTATCAGGTGGTTCTAATGAACAGCTTGGTTAAGGACTACAACCCATAGGAAAAATATCCAAATGCCTTTTGCTGAATGTGTAAGGCTGTTGTGATTTTACCTTAATTTGTTTAGTACCATGTTCTTGGATGGGAAAGTGTGAAAATTATGGAAGTCAGTTAAAATGACTTTTTGTACTCTTCCGAGGGAATTATGTTTTGGCAATAATTCATTCTGACAAGACAGTTTTACACATAATACTTTCACTGTGTCCACACTGAGATGCTTAAGAAAAATATCTGAATGCCCGTATTTCTTGTTCTGCTTTCAGAGGATATTTCTCAAAGCAGAAAGTGAAGAAGAGATTTTTGCACATCTGGGATTGGATTACATTGAACCGTGGGAAAGAAATGCCTAGGAAAAAGTTGTCGACATTTTTTCCCATTCTCTTCAGGGTTAAATAAATTATGCTTCATATTAGTATGAATAAAAGATGCCTCCAGAAAGTTCGAGATTCTTTAGGTCTTACTGAAATGCAGATTGCTACTAGAAATAAATAGCTTTATTACTAGCATATGGAGAGTTTAAAAAGAAGAAATAAATAGCTTTAGAAACGTTGTAAAGCATCGCCTGGTAATGGGTTATGTTCTAATAGGCCATTTGTACGACTGCTGCACAGAATTCACAATGTATATTTCAATGGAAATGGTGTTGTCATTGGTGGCTTATCCAAGGAAGCTAATCCAAGCCCACTTTGCCCACAGTGTAGCTGAAGTACTGTATATCTCGAATAAAAACAGGAGGAAACAAGATGATTGAGTCTTTTTTCTTTATGCAAATATTATAAAACATTTTTAATCACAAATGTAACTAAGTGGAAAAATAAAAAGTTTACATTTTGTCTTGAGAGGACAAACAGGTTTAATTGGAACATTCCAGAGGGGATTCTGGAGCTTGTGGAGTTGCTGGGTGGGGACTGACTCTTGACTGGGGCAGCTCGACTCAAAGCCTGTTCCTCCCTGGCCACCACAGAGCTGGGTCCCCAGGCATCCCAGCACAGGGCCATGTAAGGGGCGTATTCTCACTGCTTTCATTTGGAAGGAAGTGCAATTTCCTAAACCACCAAAGAAATACCTCCCTCTTTTTTCCACCTTGGAGACTCTCTCTGGACTTAGTGGCTCAGTCTCTCTCAGGAAGACAATCGCTCTTGGCCTCTTCATCTCAGGCACCCATGGAAGGGAGGCAGCCCTGGCTGAGGCAGCCTTTGGAACTCACAGGCTCTGCACCCATTCTCACCTCTTGCTTTCTCCAGGAGGGCACAGACTCTATTCTTTGAAGGGACCTAACAGGCCATCTGATCCAGTTTCTCTGGTCTCCTCAGCTTATTAAACGGTTAGGAGAAATAAGTCTTTCCACCTGCAAAGTCAGTAACTGAAAAGAATCATAGAGGGGACAGAATTTCTTGCTGATGGGAGTAAGAAACGGGGAGGCAGAAGGGGGAGAAGTAAAGAGAGTAAACCTTGTTACTTTGCAAGGTTTTGGAAAATCGAAGTTAAAATGTTTGAACTGGGTGGATGTAACCTTAGAGACAGATCAATTTGAACAGCAGGTGATAGAGGAGGAAATGAGACCAAACACATTGTGCAACCTGCCTAAGGTCATCCTGAACTTAGCAGCAGCCTGGCTGTGGGAACCAGAGCTTCTGACTTCGGATCTCAGCATTTTTCTTATAACACTGAGCTGCCCTTCGTGAAGGACCGAACATCTTCCGGCCTGGCTGAGAAAGTACCAGTAACGGGGATATCCCTGGGATACTCTTGGTTCCAAGGCCAATGTTTTGTTACAAGCAAAGAAAAGCCACAGATGTTTTGTAGGTTCATAAAAATGGCCACTTTACTTTTCACTTTATTACAAAATAAGTTCTTATGCATCATAGCAGAAATAAATGACAGAAATACTGAACCTTGCTAGTTTAATAGAAAAAGGTTGAAATAAAGATTCTAAGCAATGGATTGTAAGTAGAATTAAAATAAGCGATCCAAAATACAAGTCATACCTTACGTCATAGGTTACAAGACTTATTCATATGCACACGTCAATGCAGCTTCACAACCCACGGTGTGGGGTAGGAGGATGAGAACTGCCATCTCCACTCTACAGGTACAGAGCTGAGGCTCTGGGTGCCCAGCAATCTGCAGTAGAGCTGACACCTATAAGTATCAAATCCAAGGCCACAGCCGAGTTCTCAGTAAATCCAGTGTTCTTCCTGACATGCAAGAGAAGCAGAAGGAACAAGATCTCTGGGCACGTCTGTTTAGACAGAGCCAGATCTGCTTGCCAAGGTGATTGGACCCAGCAGACTTTGCACAAAACTGAATTTCACAAGGGGCTTTGAAGAGCAGGTGTTGGAATGTGACGAAATTTGGGTTCCAGTGTTCCAGATCAGAAGTATCATAATGTCTTATGTTAAAAATTAGGCAAAATGCCTCATTATACAGAAAAAATATCATTTTAATATGAAACATGGATCTCTATCAACAACATCATCTTGAAGGTTAAATGTAACACCAAAGCCTTTGTATTGGGAATTTGGAACTTGCAAGAGCCTGGGTTTTCCTGGTTCATACAAGGACAGGGTCACATCTAGACTGGAAGATTCACAGACTACTAGCAACCCCTAGAATCATCCTTAAATGTCAACAATTTGGATCGCAGGCCATGGAGAAAGTTTGCCACAAATGTTCCCTTGGTGACCCTGTGACCGTGGGCAACAAATGCTGGTGATCAGCTCTTCCACTTTATCAGACAAGCAATATGGGAAGAGGTAGGAGGAAGGGGGCAGGGAGAGAGAACTAGCATTTTGAGTGCCTACTAAGTGGCAAACACTTCCCTTTATTTCTTATTTAATCTTTTTGATGAGCACATGAGGCAAGTGAAATTATCTTCTCTTTTACAAAAGCAAAAACTGAGGCTTAGAGAGGTTAAACGACTTCTCCAGAGTCATATACCTGCTCAGAGTTAGGTCTGACTTACTTACAAGTCCATATTCTTTCCAATGCTATTCAACATGATTGAGCTATGTGCTGCCCTGTAGTCAGGGAATGTGTGGGTCCATGTGATTTCTACCCTGAGATATTCAGAAGTAAGTAACTGCTTCCTCTCACACATCCCCCATAAGTTTCATTTATATCCCAACTTGCACCAGGCTGACCTTGGCCAACATTCCCATGGAAGTCATATCTGATGGCTTTTTTGAGAAAAGGGATATGAAAAAAAGATGAGAAGGCAAGATACTAGAAACCAAGCCCCTTTCTTAAAATCACAACGAAAAGCAAATTCCCACTGGGGTCAGTAACAGGACCTGAGGGCTCCATCTGGATGCACAGTGAACTCTCCTGGTGGGTCACTGTGTATTAAACCACAAAATCTGAAAGTTGGAATCAAGCTTATTGGAGCTGTCCCCTAAAGAGACAAATCAATCCATAAGTGTTCCAGATCTGTAAAGGAAACTTGGATTGGTTAAGAAGCAAGGTGGCATCTCTCCTCTCCAAGTACAAATTCCTGGGTTTTCAGCCTGTCCCAGCTCCAGGTCTTCTCCTGGACTGAGCCACATTATTCTAGGCTCAGTCTGGGGACAAGCCACCACAATCCCCTCCTTCTCTCCATTTCTACCGTAGGACGGTAAGTGTCATGCATGGGCTCCTCTCTTCCTGCTACAGTCTTCACATATATGTGGGCTTCTTGTGCTCCCATTGTATTCTTCTCATGTGTTGGTGATCTCCTAGGATTCTTGAAAAAACAAATAGATTTTTTAAAAATACAGCTGAGACTTCTACTTTTGGCCAAGATGGAGTAATAGCAACCACATTTGTCCTCCCACCTGAAACAACCAAAACTCAGACAAAACATTTGAAATAATAGTTTTCAAGACACTGGACAACAGGCAGAGAAGCACAATGATCACTGAAAAACAGAAAACAAATGAGGAGGGGCCTACAATTGCCTGAGCTTACTGCCTTGGTAGAGTTTTCAGGCCATTCGACTCTCTTTTGTTTAATGTTAACATGGTATCTCTTTTCCCATCCTTTAATTTTAACCTATTCGTGTCTTTATATTTAAAATGGGTTTTTGTAGGCATCATATAGTTGGATCTTGGTTATATAGCCAATCTGAGTATCTCTGCCTTTTAATTGGGGTATTTAGACCTTTTGCATTTAATATGATTATTGGTATGGTTGGGTTTAAATCTACCATCTTGCTGTTTGTTTTCTATTTGTTCTGTTTGTTCATTGTTTCTTTTTTAAATCTTTTTCTACCTTATTCCATATGGATTTTAGAAGCACTTTATTAAGTTTTATGAAAA